GCAATGGATTTTAGATTGTAGTTGACGGGGGAAGAAAAAAATTGAAATTAAAACTAAATGAGAGCGGCATACAGGAACACGGGGAGAGGAGATCTGAGAGCTGGGAGCCTGGGCTCTAAAAGAGGAAAGATGTTTTTCCCGTGAGAAAATCATGTGCCGACTTCCAAGGAGCCTCCTGTAGGGGCAGGAACTCCTAGGTCCCCAGACTCTCCACTAAGAAAAGGAGAAGGTTCTGGACTTCAGCTTTCTCCAGATGTTGGGCTGATGGAGCTGGGCTCAGGCTCGGGGCTGGTGAACGAGGTATCCCAGGGCAACTGGCAAGTCCTCGGAACTTCTTTTGCAACTAGATTTAGGAACCAGTTAGGGTGAAGGGGAGAGACGCAAATACCCCCTCTTCCCCAACTCAGCGACCTTTTGTGAGCTGCATTCTCAAGCTCTGTGAAGAAGTGATTTCTGTCTTCTCCCTGTTCAGGCCTCTTTGGAGAAAATAAGACAAACAGGGTCAGAGGAGGGCAGCCCAGCCAGTTGGGTGTCCCAGCTGCGGAAGTGCCCACAGAGCCAGGGCACCAGTCTGGCGGGCACCCTCGTCCAGGGCCTGGGCCAGCCCAGATTTTCTCTCATCTGCTATAAGGTGATGGGGGCAAACAGGCAGTCTGGGGGATCCCTGGGTGCTGTCCCAGACTCTGCTTTCTCCCTTTCCATGAAAATGTTTGTCATACATACTTTGAAGAGACTTGGAACATACTTTGAAGAGACTATAAAATCCAAATAAACTCTTTTACCTGCCAATCAGGGACTTACTCGGAGGGTCCCAGCCTTAGGGGTCAGGGCTGGCTGGAGGTCCAAGAGCAGTCTCCCCTGGATCTCAGATGTGAGCTGCGCCTTCCACGTAGGGGCCGAGGTTTGGATTTGCTGTGTCCCCACATGGCTTTCGGCTGCAGGGCAGGGACTCCTGTTGCCAGGAGGAACTTGCTTCCACAGTCTGGCTGGCTTGGCATGCTGGCCCCGTCCAAGCAACCATGGGCTGTGGACCACAGGAATGGTAAGATGTTGTGGTGTGGGCCTGTTTAATCAGAAGCATCGTTGGTGAGAAGAGTTTTCAAGGTTTCTCTGTTGCACACGTCCACCTTGGATTTTGTCTCGCTCTGCCCAGTTTCTCAGGTTCACTAGCATTTATTCCCCATCTCTGTTCTCAGAAATGAAACTCTTAGGTCTATTAGCTATCTGAAGTGGGACAGGATTTCCGAGATACCTGGAGCTCAGGTAAGGAGAAGGGATGGGGAAGGAGGTCTTAAGTCTTGTGTTACTTTGTGTCTTCAGACAGACATTGAAGAAACTATGAGGTCCTGATTTTCCAATTACTGTGAAACACAAACTCTCTTCTTAATCTTTTTTTTTTTTTTTTTTTTTTTGGACTGGGTATTTACTTTTGGCCCTGGATCCTTTGACTGGATTTCTTTCGATTGCCTGTGGAAACCAAAGCACAGGGAAGTTAGTGATATTATTTCCAAAGCCTGCCATAGACTTATTTTCTGATCTTAGGGATAGCTGAGAGAGTCTATTTTTAAACCCTCTTTTGTTACCCAAGGGGAATCAGATTGCTACTTTTTCTAAGATCACTGCATATGATGCAGAAAAGCAAGTGGGCTAGATACTGCACGGCTTCAAAAGGCCAAACTGAGAACAAGAAGACTCAGCTGGGTCCAGAGTTGGCGAGGGTGATGAGCTGTTAGGCGTCATTGGAACCAGGCTAACTGGAATTCCTGGAAATTTTCCTGAGGGCATCGTGTCCCTAAATTCCATCTTTTGCCTCATCGGAGAGGGTCTGGTTTGGCAGAACAATTTTCCAGGAGTGAAATTCCTTCTTCCTTTTTACCCCTCTCTCCCTTCCACTTAAAATCTTGTCTCTACTCCACTGATTTCTCCAGGTTTTCCATTTTAGAAAAGGGCCTATTAAGAACAAGAAAGCAAAACATCTGCTGGTTGTCATGTTTGCTTCCAGAAACAGTGCTCAACTACTGTTTAAGACCCCAAAGTCAGAATTTCCAAAGAAGCATCTGAAGTGGGCTCTATAGAGGAGAGGGGTGGCCGCCTGACTTCACACAGGGACCACATGTTCCTTGGGAGGTTGGGCCGTGTCTTCCTCTGGGTTCCTCTGGCTAGCCTGCAGTGCATCAGCCCCCAGAGGATGCAGAGAAAGATTTGGCCCTTAACTGTCCAGAGATGAGCCACCGCCACTGACTGCAAGAGACTCAGCGATCTGGTGTGGCCCAGAGATCAAGAGCAAGTGCTGTGAAGCCAGGCCCCTCTCTACTGTGTGACCTCGCAGTGTGACCTTGGGCAAGTTTTTAATGTCTCCAGGCCTTGAAATCTTCCTGAATGAGTGGGGATGATAGGATCTGCCTTATAAGGTTGCTGTAATGATTCAATAACATCGAGGAGATGCTTAGCAGAGTCCTGGCCCAGAGTGAGCACTCGCTACATGGTCGCTGTCAGCAGATGTAAATTTGCCTACACAAGGCTCCTTTCTTGGCGCGTACAATCTCTAATGTGATGGGGGAGGGCTGGCTTTCTCCTCTGTGTCAGCCCCTAGGCGGTGAACTTCTTAATCCTTTCAGTGCATTTCCAATGTCTAAATCCACAACACCTGGGCCCTAGGAGATGTTCTCTGATGAATAAATTAATAAACAGACTCATTCATTAGGTGCAGATGGACACAACTCACAGGGTGAATGTCTAACTGCTTCTTTGGAGAGGAGAGGATAATGTGACCTGCTGAGACACCCCAGCACTGACTTGCTTAGAGTCTCAGCAGCTGCAGACAGTGCTGAAGCCAAGAACTCGCCTGGAATGGTGGTCTTGGGAAGTCTTGCGGTTTCCATTCTGCCTTTAACCCAGGAAGGCCCTTTCCCTGCGGTGAAGACACTCCCAAGGCTTCACTCCGTACCAATCTTGAGGGTCACCATTCACATCAAAGACCCTGTGGATGGTGCCATGGGAGCCGTGCCCTGCCTGGCTGAGTGGCCATGTGTGGCTGCCCAGGACTTTCCCAGCATTGAGGACAACCTAGATTCCTTAACACTAGGACTCACCTTCCAAAGGATGATTCACTTTCAATGACCTGAAAGAAATGAGGGAGGTGGAAAGAGTAAGGGCAGTTCTAATATCTCCTCTGGAGACAGGACTACAGGACCGTAGGGGTGGGGGAGAGATGATGACGGCTCTGTCCTGGGGCAGGCTCTCGGTGTCACAGGACCTGACCGAGGGCATCTCTTTCCAGCCCCATAGTAAAAGCATTTCCATCATGGAAAGCAGCATGTGACAGCAGTTGTTACCTATGCAGAGCACACCCCTGATTTCGGCTGAAGGCCAAGGACATCCACAAAAGCAGGGGAGAGGATGGTGGGTAGGAGGATAGAAGGAAATAGGGGAGTGTTGTCAGGAGCCTAGGCAAGCACCAGCTCTTCCTGGGACTGACCTTGCTTTGACAGATGGGGGTTGCCTTGAGTGGCAACTGGACTTTTCCAGGAAGTGTAGGAAGTGGAGAAAAAGGTGGGAGTGATATTGACCAGAGTTCTCAAACAAGAAATTCAGGCTAGGCTTTACTGGGCTGGAGGAGGGAGTGAGAAAAAGTAACTGGTTCCCTTGTTAGCTGGCTTCCAAAGGAGGGGGTGAGCTTGTTACTTACACGGGGTGAGGGTAGGGGTGGGTCCAGGGTGTGGCTGAGGGGGTGGGTTAGGCGGTTTGCCCACCCCTTTGTGGTGTCGGGAGCAGGGGGCAAGCCCAGTATGCTGCTTTTGCACCGGAGACCCAGTTTTTTTGTAGCTCCAGGCTCTTCAGAAGTGGCAGTTGGGGTTTTTATTTTGTCTTTGTACCTTTCAGGTCAGAATTTGCCCCAGCTGCGCATGTGGGTTTATTCCTAGTCGCCTATAGCCTCTCTGTGTTTCGTTGCTGGAGGAGAAGTGTGTCCAGGTGCAGGTATCAGAGCAGAGGGGCCCAGGTCCCCGCCTGTCTCAGGAGTGGTTTGTGCTGCGCCCCCCACCCCCACCGCCCCCAGGTCCGCACGAATGTCCCACCCTCTGTGTCCGTCCTACCTGCTGCCGCAGCCACACACTTCTCCCTATAGGTGCGGGGAGCACCTCCCAACAGGTGAGACCCACAGTATCGTTTCAATTTCACTTGGCTGTGTCTGTGGACGCACCAAAAAGAAAGGAAAAGCTCTAATATGGATGGAGGGTTTGGGTAACCTCTGGACTGTTTGCTTTTTGTATATTTAAGTCTAAGAGCCCTGAGAATCAAGCACTGTGGTTCTATCCCCATGGTAGCAAAGAGTCCCTAAGACACAGGGATAGCCACCCCCACCTCCCCACCCCAGAAGTGACATCCATGATGCTGGCACAGTCCCTGTTTTTAACTGCTGTGCCAGACACTTGGTCGGGATTGAACACGTACTGGGGAGAGAGGCAGACCCAGTGTAACCTGTGCTGTCTCTGATTGGCCTGCCTGTGAGGCTTCATTTTATTTGGGGAGCTCTGACACCCCCGGCACAGTCAGGCCCACGGTAATACCCCACCCTGCTCGTGGGGATTTTAAAAAACACCCACTGTTCTGTGCTCTGGCCCCCAGATCTCTTTCTGCTTCTCATCTTCTATTTGTTCATCCAGCCGCTCTCTGAAGCCAGCTTATTCCCGTATATGTGTAGGCATATGTGTGTGTGTGTGTGTAATAACAATAAGAAACCCAGCTCCTAAGCCACATGTTTCATTCTGCTGCTTGTTAACTTTAACAAGGCAGCTGGAGGTTTGGGCTGAGAGCTTGCTTTTCTATTAACCAGAGCTTCTCCTCCCCCTGGATTTCCTGTTTGTAGTTTTGGAGGTAAAGCGTCATGGAGGAGACGAGCCTGAGTCGTTCCAGACAGCCGCGTGGGCGGCTCCCAAGACCTGAGCAAAGGGAGCCTCACGCTGGGCCAACCTCTGTCCCTTAAAATAAGATCATTTTACATGGGTCATAGGCCAGGGCTGTGCTCGGCACGGGGGACACAGCAAGATGGCACTGATCGGGCCTCCGAGGAGCACAGTCTAGGGGTGGGGTTAGACCAACCCCTCCCAGGAGTTGCTATAGCACCAGGTCGGTGCTCCAGAGCTGATACAGGCTGCGGCCAGAACGTGGAGGAAAAAGCAGATTCTGGATCTGCAGTCTTCATGGAGGAAGTCACATTTGAACTGGCCTTTGAGGGGCAGGCAGGTGGGTTTTTTTTTTTTTTAATTTTTAATCAGAGGATAATTTCTTTACAGTGTTGTGTTGGTTTCTCCTGTAAAACAGTGTCAATCAGCTATACGTGACCACATATGCCCTCCCTCTTGAGCCTCCCCCCTCTCCATCCCACCCCCATCTCACAGAGCACCGAGCTGAGATCCCTGTGTTAGCAGTAGCTTCCCACTAGCTGTTTATTTTACACATGGTCGTGCAGACATTGTCAGTGCTACTCTCTGAATTCATCCCAACCTCTCCTTCCCTCGCTGTGTCCAGGAGTCTGTTCTCTACATATGGGCAAGTGCTTTTATTTGTTGCTTTAGTTTTGTCTTTTACAAGCAGAGAACAGCCCGCTGAGCAAAGGGTCAGAGATGCACAGTCACGGAAGCACCGACTCTCCCAGAAAGAGAAGATTACAGCGCAGGTAAGGATGGAGGCAAGATGACAAAGGCCCCTGGGAGCCAGGCTGTGGGGACCACATAAGTTCACGTGAGGGGTTTGGATTCTCTTTAGGCCAGTGATGGTCACTAGGGACAATTATGTGTTGGAGGGACATGAACAGAACTGCTATAGAAAGACACCTGGTGAGTGGTCCCTTGGGTCTGGAGGAGGGGGTCACATAGGAGGCTGTTGGGATGCACCTGAGAAGAAGTGAGTGCAGGGGATGGAGAGGAGGGATTGAGTGCTGGAGATGACTTGGGGGGAGGCTGGGAGATGCTGATAGTCACCCTGAGGTTTGGAACCCCACGTGATGTTGACATTAACAGACAACAGAGATGAAGGGCCAAGGAGGACTTATCATTATGACTAGTTGGCTGGGCAGTGATTTACGAAAGTGACCCACTTAGGGCTTGGAGGTATAATTCCCGTAGATCATCTGTCTATCAACCTATCCCTTCCCCAATTCCACCCATTCACTCATCCACCCACCCACTTATCCACCTTCCTATCTATCCCTTCCTTCTTCCTTCTCTTCCTCCCTTCCATCCATCCCTCCAAATATCCATCCACCCATCCATCTATCCTATCATCCATCCACCCATCCTCCCATCATTTGTCCCTCCCTCCCTCCCTCCCTGCATCCAACCATCTATTCATCCCTCCATCCCCAGTAAGCATCTCCTCTGAGCCAGGCACAGTTTTCCCATCATTATTAAGGCAAAGTGATTAGGGTTACTCCCTCCTCCATACATAACTCTGTCTGAGGTTTTGCTGACTTCCTCCCCCTTCTCTGCTTTGCCTTTGATGTTCACAGTAACCAGTCTTCCCGGGCTTAAAAGTTTTGGTGGACAGAAAACTTTGGTCCATCTTATTTGCCTCCCTCCTCATCCTTAAAAGGACACCTCTGCTCATGTTCCAGACAAGGAGTGAAGATAGAATAGTATCATCTCCACCTTAAAAGAAACCTTTCCTGCATTTCACAGGAAGAGAGCATTCATCCATGCTGGTGATACTGTCCTTTCCCAGATGCCAGGCCTGTCAAGAAATATGACAAGGTCATCTCATGAAAACAAGGCATATTGTTTTCCATCGTGTGAAGGAAATTAAAGGAAGACTATTAACTCGATGGTTTTAAGATTGTGAGATTCTTCCTTTAGGTTTTGTACTCGACATGCTTATGTTTTTCTTAAATTTCACTGTGGTGGTTTAAGTGGCATCTCTGCTATGAGCAGAGCTTTGGAAAGGATGTGGGGAGAAACAGAAATCGCGATGCTGGAGAGTGCAGCCAGACTGGAGGTGGACCATCCTCCGCTTCCTCTTGTCCTTGTTCTTGTACCTTCTCTCGCCCCCTTTTCAGCATCCCTGGGCCGAGCCACAGGCCCGAGATTACTCCTATCAGCGTGTCTCCTGTTCATTCTCAAGCATCTCTGAGCTTCTATGTCTGTGTGTGTGAAGGCCAGCTTTCACATCATTCAAAGAAGGAAATGATGAGGTTCATATCTCTGAAGGCTTCGCCCTTCTCTTGTGACCAGGAAGTATCTTCGGACAGATTGCTCATCACAGTCTTCCACCCAGAAAAGTGACTCTGAAACGGAACCCGTGGTGTATCCAGCACTGTGTGATTTTAACTACACCCCAGTGTTTCTTTGAAATGATTATTTATCCTCCCCCAACTTGCCTTGCCCATTTACTTTTTTTTAAATTAAAAAAAATATTTATTTGACTGCACCAGATCTTAGTTGCCACACGTGAATTCTTATTTACTGCGTGTGGGATATTAGTTCCCTGATCAGGGATCGAACTCTC